CGAACGCTTTTCATTCCACTCATTTATTCATGTTTTTCTCGTTGCCATGTTCCCACCAATAACGTAGCTCCATATTCTACCTTTAAAAGCACACACAACCCGCAATTCCTCTATTCGCTCCGACGAAGGGCTAACGCTCGAAACGTCAGCTTTTGCAATCGTTACGGTGGCCAATTTACCATTTTAACTTTGTTGATATATCCAAATTATTTATTACGTGGCCTAAGAAGGAGAAATTCAAATCAGATTAGTTGGGATCATCAGCCGACAACTGCCAACCGAATTCCTCTCGCGTGATGCGATTTGTTTGTGAAATTGTGCTGAGTTTTATGCGTGCATCACTGATTGGAATTTGAATAAGATTCCAGAGTATCAGTCATAAACCTTGCTAATAAAACAGTAGTGCCACAAACGGTAAACCAATGAAGACCATTAAGAAGTTGGCTCTCGGTTGGTTTGAAATTACTTACCCGTGTGGAAAATGTTGTCTTTGTCATAAGAATCTATACCCCAGGTGTACCTCATCAAGTCAATTACTTTGGAGATGTTGCTATTCTGCTGCGAAAAATTTCCAGGACCAGCTAATTGAGAGCTGTAAATGCCACCATCCCATGCGTCGCCGCTTCCTAAATCCGTCACGTACACGGTGTCATGATGAATGGCCAAGTCTATCGGATCTATTATCTCTCTAGTTATGAAGGCGTAGTTCTGACGAGTTTGTAAATCAATGTAATATACTTCGAAAACACCTCTATCGGTCCAGTACAAACGATTCAAATCGTAATCTACCGTCAACCCACTGGGATAGGAATCTTCTGTCAAAGTGATAATGACCTGTTGATTATTTCCATCCAAGTCTGCTCTTTCAATCGTTGGCGGGAATCCTTGGCTTGCCCAATAAATGTGTCTGAATGAAGGCAGGTATAATTTCATGAATACATTTAATTACGATGATTCTATATCATATCCATACAACAAATGGCGGAGTTACGACTGCGAACAGACCTTTCTTACTTTTCCACCTATAATCTTTTGTTGAGCTCGATGCTTGGGTTGTTTTCAGATTTTGCAATAAATGAAGCCTTTACAGAAAGGATCACTTCAATCTGATAGTGAATAGGTGTGTGTCAGTTAATTTTTTTTTTAATCCACAGAAGTATCCTGTAACATTTCAGCTCTATCATACCATGTACGTTAATATGATGAAGTCTTTAACTTTTCGCACTGTGCCTAAGGCGAAAAACATTTCTAGTTAGCACTACAGCAAGCTAAAAATGTCATTCCACAGTAATTCCCTTTTTCTGCATTTTTTTCTTAGGGTACTTGTGTGAAAAATAAAAACAAAGGAGAATGAGGAGCATAATCTTCGTTCTACAATTGGCAAAGACTCGATTGAACACTCACCCATTTTTAAGGTCCAAAGCTAGTCCCTCTGGCCAAACTGTAGAAATCAAACCTGTTCGGTGCTTCCCATCCAAGGTAGCCACATCAATTCTGTATTTAGAACTGTCTGTGAAGTAGATGTTGCGGGTAAGATGATCGATTGCTAGACGGTTTGCGTAATAAATACCATTGACAATAGTCTCAGCATTGCTTCCATTAAGATGTGAACGCTGGATTATCCCTGGACCATATTCTGCAAAATACACGAGCTCTTCTATGGGATCAAAGCCGACAGCAGAAACGCCGCGAAGATGATCAATTGGTAAAGGGGCGGCTCGGTGGTCGTCTCCTTCTAAGTTGACTTGAAATATAATTCCGCGCCAGTGTTCAGAAAACAGCAGGCTTTTCTTGCTGTCTGTTGAAAAGAAAGAAAAAAAGGGTAAAAAACTTTTGTGGTTTTCAATGAATTTTTGCAAGGGTCCGTGCATGGAAATCAGTACTATTAAATGGAAACTTATCAGAGTAACATCGACTAACGCGGAGCGAAAAGCATTTTTTAACTTGATAACGTGGTACGATACGAAAGTGGTATTAGAAGAGTAGAAATGCTGTCTCATACCGTAAGACGGCAGAGCACTCTCATTTGTCTGGCAAATAACACCGGCATCTTGGAGGTGTGAGCAATCATGATTTCCCCATCCTCCATGAGGGCAGTCATAGATACTGGATTCATTTCCCAAACAGTTTACTTCGTCCAGCCAAATCTGCCCAGAACCAACATCGTAAGCAGAAATGATAGGAGCAGCCAAGGCGCCACTGTAGTTTAGCATGCGACAGATCACATTGGCGTCTTTAAGGTCCCAGCCATCGTCGCATATCGTGCCCCATCGGTCCTTGTGGAAGATTTCAACCCTGCCTTCATTTTCACTTGTCCCCTCAACCAAGCGAATTATGTTGTCTATAGATTAACAGAAGATTATTAATAATTTTTTTCCAGTGGGGTTTGTTATTACTCTACAATTACGGCCTTCTCTTGTGTATTTTTTATCTGGGACAGGAGACTCAATCCGTGGGGTACTAAACTAATACGTCACCTTTGGCGCGATCAAAACCCATAAACTTCGCGCGCAGTCGCAGGTAGAATTTATACAAATTATAGAAGGTAAGTCCCTAATGTTATTTCTTGTCGGCTGAACTTACCTGGAGGTATAACAGGCTTAGGTATACAGTACACTCCAGCATCACGCGCATGAGTACAGACACCATTGTAATTCCCCCAGCCTAAATGTGGACATTCTGACAAGGAAGTTTCATTTCCAAGGCACTGTAAGTTATCCAACCATATTTCACCAGTCCCAGTCCCGTACCGTCCACAACACATAGTCGACCAAGCTCCTTCAAATCCTAGCATTCTGCAGATTACATGTGCGTCTTTGATATCAAAATCGTTGTCGCATATTGTACCCACTTTTCCATCATGTGTGATTTCTACAAAACCTTCGTGTTTAGTAGGCCCTCCGCGTAACTGAATTGTTATATCTACAAGGAAAGAAAATGCAAGGCTGTTGGAATATATTTCAGGCGTACAGAATGTATCATCTCGTAGATTACCTATATTTTCTGTGAAGTGTCCTGGAAATTTTATTGTGTATCGTTGAGGTTACCATGATTATCGAAGATAATAAACCAGAAGAGGTTCCTGTCTCTAACTAAAAAGTAAGCTGGGGGAAAGCTTAACCTTTACGCTCAATTTTGACACATTTTCAGTTTAGCCAAATTCTTTTGACATGTTATTTATAAAAATGAGTTGAAAAGTAAATTTCCAGTGGCAATGGTTGCTATTGATCTATTCATTTATGAGCTTCCATGCAATCTAACGTTACCAGCCAAATTAGTTAGATAAATTGAATAGGTTAGAACATCTCTTACTTGCAGGTAGTCCTTTGGTCACTGGAAAACAATAAAAAAGAGATACTCATCTCAATTATCAGAGTGGTGACACAAAAACTGAATGATAATTTTAGTCATCTAAGTCAAGTTCGAAGAGTGATAAGAACAATTATTGATCACTCCCAGTCTTTCTTTTCCTGAAGCTATCTACTTCAGTGGTGACAACTCCACGAGTAAGCCTCAAGTTGTAAAGATATCTCTGATCTTTTTCTACAAGTCAGACGATAAAAATGATGAAAACAGTGAAATTTGTGATATACCTTCTTTATAATAAAAGGTACTTAGGCCTGAGTATGTTTTTTTTGTCTTCAATCTGAATGATAACGATTAAGAACTTATATGGCGCTTGACATAGTTTAAAAAGGCACTTGCCAGAAAATTAACCCTACAAAAACCTAGCTTGGAATTGTAAACGATTCAACACAAGTTAACAGCTAATCAAAAACTCACTATTTGGAGCGACTACCGGTGGTGTTGGAGCACTGTCGTTTTTACATTTAACACCAACATCTTCGAAGTGGCCACAATTTGTCTGGCCCCATCCACGGTGCTTACACTCCATTAGTGAGTCCTCGTCTCCCCGACATTTCAAATTGTCGAGCCAAATTCGAGAATCGTCTGATCCAGAACCGTAATACCCAACGAACTCAGCTCCACTGTGATTGAGCATGCGGCACACGACCTGAGCATCTCGCATGTCAAAGTGATCATCACAAACTGTTCCCCATTCATTGGGTTGTCCCTTCATCCGGACTTCAATTCTTCCCTCGAGAATCGATGGCGCGTTTCCAAACATTAGCCTAACCTCGATTGCTGTATGGGAGAAAAAATTATTAATGAGATCTATATATTCTTACTTCGACTATTGTTGTGTTTGTTTTGTAATGTTAGTTTTTGTTTCCTTTTTCTTCCCTTTGTTGCTGTTGTTATTTATTTCCAGTAAGTTTTGGTTTGGCTGTCTTTTGATATTGACTTTTTCATAAACAGTCAGTTAAAATTTGCTCAGACTGATGTTTTTCCCATTGCCATAAAATTTCGTACTCACGGCTTAACCTCTCATTTTAAAATCGCCTCACTCTGATCAAAGAAAAGCTGCCGTTCATTTCGTTACAACCAAAAGTTTATCACTGCCCCTTGGAATCTCTTTCTGCACGATTTAAATACAGCTTATTACTCGTTGAGGAATATGTACGATAATAAGAGTTGATCTGAGAAACTCTAATTAGAAATTCGTAATATAATTTAAATATGAGGAGACTAACCTGCTACAGGTGGTTTGGGAGGCTGTCCAGTGGCTGTAAAACCCCAAAACAAGAAATGCACAAGGTCAGGTTTAGAAGAGATTTCCTCAAAGAACGAAATTCATTTTCTATGACTTACCGTTACAAGTAACATTATCTGGCAGCAGTTTGAAACCATTTGAGCATGCGCACTGGAAGCCAGTCGGGGTCAACAAACAAAGATGAGTGCATTTTGAGTCGGTTTGGCAGTCAGCCATGCCTATAGAAATGAAAAGAAAAAAAAAAAAGAAACATTGACAGTACAAGGCTAAATCTTCCCGATATTCTACTACGTCTTAATTTTATCTCTAGCTATATATAAGTAGAAGCTTGTAAGGGGTCCCACAAACAATGCTGATCAGTCTCAAACACGCTGCCTGGAGGATCACTGAAGCGATCGTGGGCTCTTGAAATAACGTAAATAAGAGCAGAAATGTAATGGTCAAGAGGCCAACTCCAATGTAGCTTT